TAGTGATTGGCTTCTTTCCCCGGGTCTTACCTGAGGGCTCTTCCGACTGGTGGCGTGTGCTGTTGTGGATGGGTTCCTCTGGGACAACAATCCTTCTTCCTCCTCTGGGCCGCTTCCCATGTCAAAGCCCGGGTCGATGCCAACTCCCGTCACCCTTCGTGGGGCCACGACAGTCGGGGTCACTGTGTTTCTGCTAGTTTCGCCTCCTTGGTGGGGTGGGACATGGTGTTCATCCCAGTCGTCGTGGCGCCGGGCCACCCCCCCTACCCGCGGGAATGGCGGCAGAGGTTGGCCGGGGCTGCGTAGGGTGTTCTTTGATTGCTACGGTGTAGAATGTGAGATGCGATTCGCATTCCTGGTCCAGGTGCACCAGGTATTCCTGTACGTGTGGCGCAATGTAGATTCTGCCCCGGGGGAGCCGCAATAGCACCTGATACGGCCGTATTCCATGGGCGTAAAATGTAGAGCGGTATCTCTGGACCAACCGGTCCCACCCGTTGTCCTCGTTGCGGCCCCGAGGGAAGTATATGTAAACGCTTCTGTCCATCCCGAATACGTCGCAGAACAGAGTGACCAGGAGCCAGGAAGCCGTCTCACTTCTCCCGTGGGCCCGCACCACACTCTCGAAGGAGTCGAAATGCCCCGCCGGGTCCGCGCCGGATTCGGACATAGACCATGTCTCGAAATGTCCCTCTATCTCGGATGCGAAAGACACTGCCTCCCTCAGGAAGTCCCACCGTCCCCCGGCGTGCGGCAGTTCGTGGTTCTGGACAAGTTCCGCGGGATGAGGAGGTCGTCGTCCGTTCGATCCTTCCTGCGAGCAGTTGGCACATGGTCGTGGATCCACGCGTCCGTGTGCTATCTGGTCGGCTCTGTCCCACAGGCAGTTGGCGTGCACCGACCCGTGGTGTCCACACGGGATCTGGATAGGCTCGAGTCCCTCGGCGTGTGGTGGTGGCTCAAAGTGGCCTTCACAGTACGAACACGATCCGGTGCTACCGCCTCCGTTCGCGCCGGTGAGTTGGGGCCGTGTGTCGGGGACGGAACGTCGCGTTTCACCTGCTCGATCAAGCTCGCGCAATCTCTCACGAGCTGCTACAACCCTATCCTGCAAGGTTTCCCGCTCCCCATCAGCGAGACTCCATGCCGGGATCGTGATGGCTACTATCTCCAGGAGGCGGGGCCAAAAGACGTCGCGCCTCGAATCGTGCATGGCTGGATTCGGGCACGCCACCATCCTAGAGCTGTCCGACGGCGCGGTAGAGAGCAGGTGGTTCTCCACGAAGGTCATCGCGCACGTAAGATGTACCCTGCATGAGCACGGCGCGGTGACAAGCGGGCGTTGCCAAGCCCCGTTCTGATGGCATACGACGCAGACCCCGTCCGTCGCCCCTCGCGGAGAAGGCGTTGTAGTCGGAGCAGGTGGTGACGGGCCGGGCGAAGGAGGAGGAGAAAGTGTGTAGACGTATGTGGACGGGGCCGGCGATTCTGTGGGTTGTCTCCTCGTTCCGACGCGAACCGGCATGCGCGGCCCGAAGTCTCGCAGCTGGCCCCTGATTGTTTCGATCCGCGCGCCTAACGCCCGCTGATCCGCTTCGTTTTCGTAAAAGTTGAATCTGGCGTGCTCCGGTAGAACGACCGTTGCTTGGAAGCCGTGATCCTGTCTTGTACGCTGGTGCGGGCACGAAATAATGTCGTGTCCGCTCGCCAGGGCGTCGTGCAGTTGATCTTCTACGAGTCCCACCGCGCATCGAGTGTGGTAGTGACATCCACAGGGCGGAGACATGGCAGCCCCTTGACCTATTGATTCGTGACAAACTCCGCAGAGATGGCGAGGCGCGTGCGTTTGACTCGCCTCCCGTGCGGTCGAGCGAGCCACGTCCCTCTCCGATCTCGCTGCTCGAAAAGCATCAGAAACTACGTCGTTCCCGTGCTGCTGTTCCAAGCTGGTACTCGTCTCTTAGATGGTGGACCCTATACGGCACATGGGAAAGTGGAGGGTATCGCCCACTTCCCGCACGCATGCCCTGGTTCCCGCCGGGGGGGACGCTCCTCTGACTGCAATTGCTGAAATGGCGTCGACCGCTCGGGGGGCAGTGCAGTCGGGCGACCCGTTGGCTGGGCTAGATCGCTGGTATCCGTCTGGGCCAGGGACTGCGGGGCCACTCGGTCGACGTGACGAGTTTCGGGGGAACTGCCCCCCTCCGAAGGAAGAGAGGGCCCTGACTGCGGTTGACTTGGTGTGATGAGGGTAATCGGGACGGCGGGCCACGTGGGGAGCAGGTCTGCGACTTCCCCAACTGCAGCACTTGCTACGTCCGTTCTTCGGCCCGAGGGGGGAGCAGAGTCTCCCCGGCGTGCCTCGGGAGGTGTCTCCCCGGTGTCTGCCTCGGGGGGTGTCTCCCCCGGGTCTGCCCCCGGCAAATCCCATTCCTCGGCGTGGCCTCCTCGCGGCCTACTTCCTTCTAGGGGTCGACTTCGTGCGCACGGTGGTTCTTCTGGCGCTGCATTAGCGGTCGGGAAAGGGTCGAGGCCCAGTCTTGGTGCGCGGTCGGTGACGCCTTGTGCGCTTGCTGATGTTTGGACAGGGGGGGCGGTAGATACCTGACGCCNTGGCGCTGCATTAGCGTTCGGGAAAGGGTCGAGGCCCAGTCTTGGTGCGCAGTCGGTGACGTNTGACGCCCGACCACGGCGCTGGTGCGCGACCGAGTTCTCGTCGAGATGCGGCCCTCGTTGGCAAACCCCTGGTCCCGAGTCCCGTCGACGCCCTCGTCCGAGCGCCTCGTCGCTGCCAGCCGAGCAGATGGGAGGGTGGGTTGGTCTGCCGGGCTCCGTCCCTCCCGGGTATTTGGCGGAGCTTCTCCGCTGGAACCGGAAGTGGGAACCTCCGACGGTTCGGTGGGAGACTCCGGCATCGGCGATCCCACGTCCACGCGAGCTGTTAACTCTCCCGACAATGCTGATGCGTCCGTGCGTGGCGGGGTCGACAGGAGCTCTAGCGCCGCTCCTCTCGATGGGGCAGCCGCGGACAAGGCAATCTCCGAGAATCCCGGCGGCCGGCGGGCTGGAGTCATCGTGGGCGTCTCAGAAGACGCGAGAGCCGAACCGACCGGCGTAGTCGCAGAATCCGTGTGTGTCGTAGCGCGCCGCACGCGCAACCGTGTCCTTGATGAGATATGACTACCTAATGAAGGACCTAGGCTCCCAACAGTACCTACGTCTCCCCCGGCCGAAGCCCCTCGTGCCGCCAAGACAGGTATTATATATTTTTAGGAGACGTACGTACGTACGTACGTACGTACGTGTTGTCATATTGACTTTTACAGAGAGGGGCAGCGTAGTTATATAGTATATCATCGCCTACTCTCCCTCTCTCTTTCTCAGTCTTTGCTTTGCCCCCCGATCGTTGCGGTGCGTGTTTCTACGCAACTACATTTATATATATATTCAGTGCCGGCCCGCACTTAAGAACCTCCTATATTGGGCAAGGCTCAGTTCATATTGGCTGCCCCAACCCGAGCACCAGTTCTAATTTGCGAAGTTCTTTTTTCGTCGTCCATTCTTCTCCAGAAAGGGGCGTTCTTGTTCTTACAGTATTTTAACATCATTTGCTATATTGTCGGCTGTCAACCATGAGCAACACTAGTACTGCTGTCGATACAAGAACATACCAAGGCATGGAGCAACAACTGTCAACCTTCTTGGTGCACAAGGGTGACGTTGGTCCTGCGTACCCTTCCTGATCTACAAATGCTCTCAAGCAAAACCCAGAAGCCTACAGCCGCATCCGAATCTCCGCTGTACTTGTCTAAGGGCAACTTCATCTTGCGCGTACTCTGGTCTAGCTTCAGCTGCACACAGTAGTCGTAGGTGGCGAGTGTCCTTCTGAGATTGTTGAGCGATCAGCCCTCCAAACCACCCCATGCCCAGTCTAACGAGCGCTCCACGCCGCAAAAGCAATCTGTCAAGAGCAACGGGTTTAGCTTCTTGAATACGAAGCCTGCCGGGATCTCCATTCCCTGTATCTCATCCTCCGGGTCTTGTGGGTCCATGCTGTCGTCGTCGTCCAGAAGAGCTAGCTCGTCGGTCTGGGGTTGAGAGACGTCTGCGAACGAGGCAACGGGAAGTACAAGAAGTTGGGGTTGTTGGTATGTCCGTACTTGGGAGGAGACGACACGCTTTCACTCTCTCTGATTAGGCACCCGCGGGAGCGAGGAAAGGAAGGGAAGAAGTCCCCCCGTGCTGCTAGCAGATCTACCATGCTCGTATCCAGACACACGAACACGGTGCGCTTTCCGGTAAGGTCGTACGGTGGAGACGGAGTCTATACGGTCTGAAGCAGGCGTCCCGCACATGGCATCATCACTTGATGCGTGGCATGAAGAGTCTTGGTTTCGAGCCTTGTGCCGCCGATGCGTGTGTGATGCGTCTGATCGAGAGCGGTGTAGTCACCATGGTGGTTGTGATCCACGTAGACGACATCTTCTCTATCGGGCTCAAGAGCAGGTGCGATCAGTTTGGTGTTGACCTCAACCGGTATGTGCCCATTTCCAACCTTGGGGAACTGCGATGGTATACGGGTTGCCGGTTTTCTCGTGACACGGTGTTGGGGACGGTGTCTATTTCGCAACAGGCTGTAGCGGAGAAGATCGTTGCCAAGTTCGGTGTGACGACGGACAAAGAGACACCTATGGTCGTTGGGTTGAAGCTTGAGCAGTACGACGCCGTCGAGCCCGATGTCGACGAGCCTTTCCGGTCGCTAGTGGGACACTTGATGTGGCTGGCGAATCAGACTCGCCCGGATATTCTCAACGCGGTGCGTGCCGTTGCGAGGTATTCGCACGCGCCGAAGCGACTGCACTGGGAGGCGGCTTTGCATGTTTTGATGTATGTTAGATTCACGAGCGGGTACGGGATTACTTTTCAGAGGGGCACGGTGGGAGGAGACCACATGGAACTTTTTGTCGATTCGGACTTCGCCAACAAGGCAACCGACCGGCGGTCTGTTTCTGGGGCACTAGTGATGTTCGCTGGTGCGTGTGTGATGTATCTGTGTAGGACGCAGAAGAGCGTCACCCTGTCTTCGACGGAAGCGGAGTNTGCGGTATCTGCGGAAATTTATTTTTCCGGGCCGTGATGTGGGGTGCACGCCGGTGTGGGAGGACAACGTAGGCGCTATTCACTTGGCAAGTAACCCGGCTACTACTCCCAATTCGAAGCACATCGACATCCGCCACCATTTCATCCGTGAGCGTTTAGCGCGGGGGGAGTTCAAGGTAGTCCACGTACGGTCGGACCTGCAACGCGCGGATTTCTTGACCAAACCGCTCCCCAAGGAGACTTTTTGCGCGCAGCGAGACTTCGTGATGAATATTCGTTGATTTTGTTCTTGGTGTTGCACTATTTCAGCGATGGGGCCTTTCTTGCACCATGTGTTTTATTTGTGACCTGGTACTGGCCTTTGATCTGCTGCTCGATGTTGATTTCTGCTTTCGCGATGGATGGGATAGTTCTGCGTGAGAATCATGGGGGGGGAAGTATTGTTCCATGATCCTAGTCGCAGGTGGTTTGTCTTGGTTTTGATTTTTTTCGGGATGAATGATGCAGCAGGGGGGCTGTTGGATTGATTGATTGATTTGATTTTGACTTCATGTATGTATGTTCAGGATGGAATGGATGTTACAGCAGGGGGGCTGGTGGAGTGATTTGTTTGTCAAGGTGTTGGATGTCGGAGAGAGGGTTTGGCATGTTCTTGTAATTTGAACTGGCCATTGAGTTGAAACATGAATATTCATCTGAGGAATAATTTGTTCTGAGTAGTCAGGACGTAAGACACGTTTTCCCGGGGTTACCNACGTTTTCCCGGAGTTACCCGTCCTCCCCGTTCTGACGTGATTCTGATGTAATGTTGATCTTTTTGCTGGGTATTTTTCCAAGGGTGATTGTTCGTGTTTTGACTGCTTGAGAATTGGGTTGAGCACTTTTCTCGAGAGGGTAATTTGTTTTTCTTGACAGACCTTTTAGGGGTAGAAATTTGACATCAAAAAGGTTTGAAAGCTTTGCAGGACGTGTTTTGTTGGAAGATCCGGCGATTTCGTGGGACATGTTCTATTGGCAGAGTCGTTTGGATTGGAATGAGTGGTGGATGATTTATTGTTAGCATAGGGGTTTTTGGTTTTTCTGTCTGCCGTTTTGTCTGGCAATGATAGTCGTGTCGGGGATTTCGTAGATCGTATCTCGTACCGAGCAGGGGGGCTGTTTGGGGTGCTCGGCAGAGTATACTGTCTACGGGGCCTCCGGGGGGTACGCGGATGGAATGTATTGACGGACATGCTGCATGGCGATGGTGTGGCCTACCGCATGTCTCTCACTCTCTAAGCAACAAGGTCTTGAGTCAACCTTCTTTCTCGATCGGCCTCTGACGAGCTACCACACCCAAACAAGTCCCAAACTTGTGTTTCCCCACCTTCGAAAAACAACAGGATTGGGGGGCGGAAAACGCTGGTCTGTCGCTACAGTAGTCTGCCGCCACGAACTCTACGTAGGGTGGCCAAGCTGCTGCTGTCCTTTCGTCTCTTCACTTGCTCCTTAGCTTCCGTTCTTCCTCTACACGACTTGCTACAGATGCAGTAAGTTCTCTTCCACGGAGTGACAGAAATAATAACGGAGGATATTTTTCCTTTGGTGATGCCAGGTTTCCAAAAGATAAAGGATTCCTACATCCTTCCGGGTCGCAATAAGTGTCAGGTTCTTCAACTCCTTCTGTTCGACGAAAAAATTATTCTTTCATTGCTACAGAAGTGCTTGTTTGTGGCACTTGGATATGAGTACGATCTGTGCATCCTCCTTGGGGGATACTCGTATGGGAAGTATGGGTGTGATGGGTATGTATGCAGTTGGAGTTCAAGTGCGGCCCCCCCGGGTGATCACACGGCGGTGTGCTCCCGGCACTTGCCTGAGGGGCTTAGGTGTTGGTGACCAGCTTGCATGAGGGGCTTGCGTGACGAGTAATATATATAGTCATTTTCTTCATCTGCTGTTACTGGGAATACATAGTACCTAGTCTCAACACCACAGACCGCTGAGGGCGGCAGTGCACACTAACACGATATGACTATATTCTGGAGCCTAGCTAGGCCAGGTGTTGGTTCGGCGATGACGGAAAGAGAGCGAAAGTTAGAAGAACGAGCGAGGAATGCCGAGAGAGAAGCCGAGGAAGCGGCAGCCAAGATGGCGGAAATGCAGAGAAGAATAGATGAAGCGGAAGAGAGGAGTTCAGCGGAGGAAGCTGCGAGAGGAAGAGTGGGTGATGCTGGGCATGCAGCAGGTAACATGAGGATAAGCGGCGCTGTCTATGCGCCTGGGTACCATAGCAGGGATGGAGCTGCCGGAGGGGCGGCTACTTTTGGAGCTGGGGGGACGACTGGTTTTTTCGATGATCGGAGGCAGCAGCAGCGTGACCGCGATTACGTGCGGAAGGACCGGAAGCCACCGGTATACGACGGCAACTTCCCACTGTTCAAGTCGCTGTTCGAGCTCTTGCTCGCCCGCGAAGATCTATCACACACACTCGCCAAACCGGCCGTCCAGACCAACGCATCTGGCTCCTCAACGGGCTGCCAAGGAGCAAAAACGTCTGCTTGCACGGTGAGCGTCGCGTGCACGATCATGAGTATGCTTTTGAGTACTTGATGCGCGCCACGAAGCGGGCAAACTTGCAGGCTAGAATCCTTGCCGTTGGGACTGTGTCTAGGGCTTGGGAGGCTGTACAACAGTTCTGCCTGCCAATGAGTAACTTCGAGCAGGAGGCACTGAAGCTGTCTCTCACGAACATGAAGATGCAGCTTGGAGAGGACCCAAAGGAGTACTTGCTCAGGTTCGACAGGGTGTTGTCTACTCTCCGCGCCGTCAACGGCGATGCGATCACGGATAGAGAAGTCCTCGCGATGCTTCGAAGGAACCTCTCCGCCGACTACGAACAGGTCCACATTCTCTTCATGGCCAACAGCTCGCTCACGCGCAAGAACTTGGAGAATCTTGTGCGTAGCCTCTACGCCGAGAGAGACCTCGGGAATGTTGCGCGGCGGACGGCAGCGCCGACCGGTGACCCGCGCGCTCTTCATGTCGGCGGTGGAAATTTTCGGCGCGACTGTTGGGGAGGTTTTTGTCGTCAACAGCAGCATGGTCTGCAGCCGTCCTGCGGAGGTGTTCACGTACAGCAACCGTTGCAGCAGCAGTGGAGGTACGGCGTGTTTGGCAGAGGGTGTACTTTTCAGCAGCAGCAACAACAACCGTGCGTGCAGCAGAGGTTCGTGCCACAGCCATCGGTGCAGCAGCAGCCCATGCCACAGCAGCAGTCGCCGCGTTGGCAATGGGTATACAGACGGCCGCAGCGGCGGCGGCGGCGGCAGCATCGGCGAGCGGCGGCGGTGAGGACGGGTTCGGCCAGAGCGCCGTCACCGACAGCAGCATCGGCGGGAGCGGAGGTGGTGCGGACGGTTTCGGCCAGAGCGCCGTCCCCGACAGCAGCATCGGCGGTGGCGGGATCGGTGACGGAGGTATGTGACGAAGAGTTGGAGGAAGCGGTTGGTGCGACAACCATGCCATTGCCAGTCCTCGAGGAGCTTGATAGCCAATGTGCTGGGGGGGATGTGAGCAACAGCAGCATCAGCATCAGCAGTAGCAGCAGCTGCAGCAGCGGGGACAGCGGCGGCGATGGGAGCGAGGACGTGGGGTTGGATGAAGTATGGAGTGGAGCCCCGACGCACCTTTTCGACCCCGGGAAGGCTGAGGGGGACGTGAGCAGCAGCAGCGGCAGCAGCAGCAGCAGCAGCAGCAGCAGCGAGGAAAGCGGTGGTGATGGGAGCGGGGATGCGGGGTTGGATGAAACCTGGAGTGGAGCCCCGACGCACCCCTTCGACCCCGGTACGACATCTTCGCGTGGCACGAGGAGACGGGGGGCGGTACCAGGGGTGGCGTACTCCTTCGATAGGGGCAGGAACGGGAGTGGCGGCTTCGGCCAGAGCTCCGACGGCAGCAGAAGACAGCAGCGGCGGCTTTGGCCAGAGACCCGTCGGCGGAAGCAGCGACAACGGCGGCGGTGGTAGAGGCCGAAGCAGCGACGTCACCGGCAGCCGTGTTGGCGCTGGAACCCATGTCGGTCGTGGCGGCGGGGGAACGGCAACGGCGGCGATGGCAGCGGCGGCAGCAGCGGTGGCGCCCTCGGGTCGACCGGGAACGGGGAGGACACGGTGACAGCGACGACCTCACCTTGATACACCCAAGTGGGAGAACATGTGAAACGTTTACGACTTTGTTCGGTTTTGTGAGCAGGCATGTAGGTTTTATTTAGCTTCGCCATTTGGCTTCGCATTTGTTTGTTTGATATTTTTTTTCCTTGCTAGCGCACCGTGCACTTTGATGCAGAAAACACATCTATGCCACGGCGTGTGCGTATTTTTTTGTTTTTGTACTTGGTTTCATGATAATTGTACGCTGCGACAAGATAATCATTGCCACAACCTGTGGAATTGGAAGCAGCACGTGGGTATTTTTTTTCCCTTTGTTCTTGCAGTCGCGTTTAACCTTGGAGCTGAATGTTTCATTATATTTTCGTATTCTTTGGAGGGAGTGCGTTCAGTCGAGTTTTTTTTTGTTTACGAACTGGACACTTTGCACTTAGAATGTTTCGATACTTTGGTTTTTATTTGAGGTCCTGAGTTAAGTGGTCGCTCCCTGCGGTGTGTTTCTGGCCGCGCGAACGGAATGGGATGATAGCGCGTTGTTTGACATGCATGAAGGCATAACCATCAGGGAGCAGGGGGGCTTTCGGAGTTCCAGCTGAGGAGACAGTTTGCATACGGTACGATTTTTTTCTGGAGTTTGATGCCTTGTGTGTTACTACGTGTTTTCACGTTCTTGTTTGTATCTCATGTTTTGCTGCTCTTGCGTCGAAAATCATGGGGGGGATGTCATGATGTCATGTATGACCATGATTCTAGAGGGGCATTTCTGGTCGTGCCTACTTGTGTGTTAGGTGAACGGCAAAGCAAGGGGGCTGTTGGCATCGAAATATTAGCTCGGGGTGAATTTTGGGAGCTGACAGCAGGGGGGCTGTTTGCGTGGATGCTTGCTTACGTTTTCTATCGTTTCTTCGACAACAACGACGGTACCGATTAGCGGGTGCGCGCTGTTTAGGATTTGGTCCTTGGACATTGTATTGGAGGAACGATTTGACATGTTTTGACGATTCGTCTAATGATTGGGGCCGTTGTGCTTTCCGAATTCTCGTTTTGATTGGTCAAGAACTTGCGTTTTTGTTTTGTTTAAGGATTTGGTGCCAACTCTTGCAAAGTTGTTTTTTCCACAAATATCCGTTTTCGTTCCGACGCCTTTCTGACGTAGCACAAAAAATGGGTGGGTATCTTTCTGAGGATGATTCTTTTGTGTCAACGGTTTGAAATTATTTCCAGAGGCGAACACATTGGATTCGTGAATAAACTGATGGAGACGCTCTGTGTTGAATGCGTAGCCAGTTTTGTTGAATAAGTTTTCTCAAGGGGTGTTTTTCTGTGTTGGCTGATTGGGCGTGAAGGGTTGCAAGATCGTACATCGTATCAAGTAGGGGGGTTGTTTAGGGTACTTGGATATGAATCCGATTTGTGCATCCTCCGTGGGGGATACGCGTATGGGAAGTATGGGTGTGATAGGTATGTATGTATTATGCGGTTGGGGTCCACGTGCGGCCCCCCCGGGTGATCACGCGGCGGTGTGCTCCCGGCACTTGCCTGAGGGGCTTGCGTGTTGGTGCCCAGCTTGCCTGAGTGGCTTGCGTGACGAGAAATATATATGGTCCTTTTCTTCATCTGCTGTTCCTGGGATAACATAGTACCCAGTCTCACCACCACAGACCGCTGAGGGCGGCAGTGCACACTATCAGCAGTGCTAATTCATGCTTTTATATTTTGTACATAAGACACAATACCACACCGCGACTGATGCCACAGGTGGAGCGATATGTTGCACACGCAGAAAAGGAATCAGCTGCAGAACTTTTCGTCCACTTCCGAAGGATTGTCGACAAGTACATTGTCTCGGGGTCGGAGCTGGAACTGAACATCGAGAGCGCCATGCGAAATAAAGTGCTCGAGGTCTGTGTGATGACATTCGCACTTTTCAGCCTCCCCTTTCTCCGAAGTTTAGCGAGGGCGTACGTCGACTGGTCTGTAGAACGAAATTCCATGTGCCCAGGAGTACGTAAGAATATGGGGGTCGAGCGGGAGTTGACGCTGACGTGCCTCAGCAATCGTCAACTCGAAGACGTCGTAAGTCAAGTTGGGATCGTTGTGTAGCGGCTGGTAAGGCCTACGCCAATCTTGTTCCCGCTTCCCCGACGATAAAGGCGAATAGTGTTGAAGGAAGGCTTCGGTTCCGGGTGCGGGGTATGACAAGGCAAAGGGGCATCTGCAAGCTCCCGCAGAGATTACAATGATGCTCAAAGAAAGGCGAACTCGCCTGATTTTGTTCTGATCGATAGTCTATCCAATCCGTTGCTCCGCTGGTTCCCGTTACACACGGCTGTGCGTCAATAGTCTCACGGGTGGGTCTTGTATGGGACGTACATGCAGACCCTCCTCGAACGCCCTGAAGTTGTCAGGGATTTGCCCGTCTCACTTCCCGTCCCCCGATGCCAATCCTTGCTTCCGAAAGGTCGGGGAAAGGGTGATATTTGTGGAGGCTGGGATGGAACGGCAGAGAGGTATCTTCAACCCTTCGAAGGAAGAAGCGCACAAGATTCTCGATGACAATCTGCTCCAGTCGTTTTTGACCAGCCGGAAATTTCTCGACGCCTGCCTACGTTGGCAGGAAGCACAAGCCGCAGGTAACGATGAATATTATGTTCTCTTTTTGCTGCACCAAATCGTCTGGAGGATATCTGTCCCTTGATTGCAGAGTTTGCATGCATGCTCGTCTCTCGGTTTACTTTAGTGATCTGCTTCGTAGCGCGCTTAGATTTTTTTCCGTTTTGATTTACACACTAACCGGCGTACCCTTTTCGAGGTAGTTGGCCTGTCACCGCTAAGGCGTCTGCGTCAATTGGACCGTATGGATGCTTGACGGTACGGAGCAATACGGAACCTGTCGGCCAAAGTCGTGTTGTCGAACATGTTCATTTGCCATGACCGTGGCAGCCGGCGTCAGCCGACGTGCCCTCCGCCGACACCCATACTCTTGCCACCGTTTTGAGGCCAACCCGCCGAGTTCCGCGATCCGGTGTCCACGATGAACTAGTTTCATATGCTGCAGACAACTCATTCCAGAATAACCTATGTAAGCGAATATGGTTTTCTAATTTTGTTGCTTCCTTCAAATGTTATGTCGCCCCTGTTCGTGACGAGGATAGCGGCATCCGCGTCCGACAAGAAAAGCCTATTTGGCTGGAATAGCCACCAGGGTTCGTTTAGCGAGATTTCACGTTCGGTCGTTCGTGTACACGGCGTAATGAGTAGAGAGATTGGCATCTCGAGGAAAAGCAACATCGGGCGAAGACTAACGGAAAATGGGGCGTCTACCATTCGGGAAGAGATTGGGAGAGTTGGGTCGCGTTTGGATGAACTCGCAACCCGCTCGTTGTGTCCCGTCCATGGGCAGGAGAAGAAAAGTGCAGGGGAGAACAAATAGAAATCTAGACAAAAGCTGCATGTTCTACTGTACGAGCAGGGGCGCCTACCAGCAAGCGTTGAAACGAGACCGTCAGGATTCGTCTGTAGCAAATCGATGTCTGTCAACGTTGGTACGCTTGGCGAGTGGTTCGCGTAACCTTGTACAGCGCATTCTACTTTTTTTTGTTTTTCTCCCATCATTGGATTCTGTTATCTGCCCCTCTGGCCCCTATCCTCCACTTCGACTAGCTAGACGACCCAACCGGGGTCACACAGGAGGGGGGGGGTTGGACCCCCTCCTGCGGTTCTACTGTGGTGGCATGATCATCCCCTATAATGGTGTCGTGTTGCGACCGGACAACGATATCGTCTGGCGCTGTTGCGTGACTCTCGGTAGTGGGTGCGGAGGTGGTTGTTATGTTTCAATGTTTTAAGTGTGTGTACTAGTTGGCAGCGCAGCTTGCCTCAGCCAAGCGTGCTCTTTTAGCGTGAGTATGGAAACGACAGAATGGGGCAGACAGATGAAACCGAGAAACATCTTCAGCCAAAGGGCGAAAACCGCGCGCACATGGAGGCAGGCTGGGCGAGGTTGTGGGTCCTGGGATATCACCGCGCCGTGCGAAAACAATCTGTACTCCCCGAATATAGCACACGCCGTGTCTACTTGCGCTTGCATTCAAGTGCACTGGTCGCTCGTAAGGTTAGTCAAACGACAATCCGTTGTGGTTGCACCAATGAATTGTCGATTGGCCTTTTGGTCAAAAGCTGCCAAAAGTTTGTCGTTGGATACCGCGTCAAACACATTTGCTAGCCCGAATCATGTTTTTGGCGGGGGCAGACAGCCGGCAGACGCTGCATACTGCATATTTCTTCCGTTCAAACGCAGCAAGCAGCCCACGCCGCCGTTCGATCATGTTGGTACAGGTCATGGCGAGAACTCGGCATTGAGAAAACCAAGCTGATGACCATTTTCGTCGCACACCGTTGTGATGCCCAGATGAAACCCTCACTGGAAAACCCTCATTCATACGGGGCAGTGGCTCTCGGCAGCAGACAGAGGAACCAAGAACACGAGCCTCGCGCAAAGTAACAATTTCTTCTGATGCACGTGACGCATATTTACTCCGTGTATCATCGGATTCATCAAGTATATTCTTCTCTCGGTGGACAGCCACACGAGCGGACACCTCTTCTTCGTGTGGAACTGGGCCTATCCTCCCTTATGTTGAGTTCAACTGAAATTTCCCGTTTGCAACGCCCGGTGGAAACGAGAGACCACCTGAAAAAAAAACGAAAACCTCTTACTGGACCAGCACGGTTGCCCGAGGCAAGCTGCGATATCAATGGCAATTTCTTCTGATGCACGTGACGCATTCTGCTTGCGTCCTCCGTGCATCAAACAAGCACTCGGTCCCATTCTTGTTTTGACAGGGACACTACTGCTCGGGTGCTGATACATCTTCGCCCAGCCGTCTAAACCCACATCATTGTATCACCGCTTCGCAGTCGTCCGTGCAGCATCGGTGCCTTGGCACTGCGGTAAAGTACCAAGTAGGCGTTGAGCAATCGTGTGTCAACCGCGTCGTGCGAGACAGCCCCAGCAGTCCCCTAACGTCATCCATCATTCATGACTATTTACGCGCGTGGTGCGTCAAACAGGCGTCCAATTCTCTTGGCCACCTTGTCACACTCTCTCTCGAACAAGGACGCGCCGCTTACCCCACCGTCACACCACCATAACCCCTCCCCCACCACTCCCTCCTGCCCGACTTCCCCCTTGGCCTCGCGGGGACTCTTCACCTTGGCGTCGTTCGTCCCGTCGCTGTCGTGGCCCGGGAGGCGTCCGATCCACGTCTCCCCCTCAGATCCTTGCCCCAGAAGCATTGCTGTGGGGGGGGTGGCGGTTGTTGGGCGAGGGGAGCTGGGGGTCGATTTTCCGGGGAAAGGTACTGCTGAAGTGGTGTACGGCGGGGAGAGAAGTTCTACATTCCTACCTAAACCCCAAATGTTGTACGAAGAACTTAAGTGTGACGCTCAGTCATTGCGGCACAGATGACGTTCGTCATTCGGAGGGGTCGGGCTGGTCAGGTCAAGCCGACCCCCGATCAGCCCTCTTTTTCACACCAATGCTGTACCGTCACAGTCCAGTGAGCACATCGCTAGCTCGAGGCAGGTCTACGCTCCTCTCATCCCCGAGGGGAGGAGGAGCAACCACCTCAGCCCGTGCAACCATGTCACACTAGCTCGTGACGAACCTGCACGAAAACAAACGTCTTTCAATGTGGTCGCACGCACGAGCTCAAACTCGCCGGAGCCTACTCTACTTTTCAACAACCGTTGCTCAACACAAACGGTTGAAAACTCCGACGAAACCATGCCTCGTTCGCGACAACAAACAGCGACCGAAAACACTCACTCATGGCTTGAGACAAGTCCGCAAGGCAGGCTCCAGCTTCCGGGTGCGGACCATCCCCTAGGTACAACAGCTGCGTCTGATCCACACCAAAACACGTTACGCGGAAGGCAAAAGGACAGCAACGACATCAGCGCTTGTCCCCCTTTCATCCTGTCGTGATGTAATGGCGCAGCTGTCGACTTTGCTGCATTGTCTGAGCGGCTTCGACAAGCTACATGACCGCGTCCTTCACCTCCGAACCCTGCCTGCGCTAGAAGCGCAAGTTGTAAAGGCGCCAAGGTCCTAACCCCTGGGTAACAATACGCGCGCAAAAGGAACGAGTCCACGCACGACTTTGACACCCTAAGACTTCGCGAGCTCACGTTCTAGCCGGTCTGTAAGCTAGACGTGGCTTGTAATCGGTTGGTGTCATTGGCGACAGCGGGAGATAATCTAACGCTTTCTCCCTGCTATACATATGGATGTGGATAACGAGAGATTCGAACCCGACCGAAGCCAACTGAACCTTGCTCACAATTCTCCCTGCTACGGACATGAATAAGAGATTTGAACCCGACCGGCGCCAATCGAACCTTAACCTTGCTCGCATCATGGCGGATGGATTCAGCGTAACACGCACAATCATGTCAAATGACCAGCTCACAGCTCCCACACAGACGCCAACACACTACAAGACAAGTCAACGCTGAAACGAGATTCCAGCGGCACTTGATAATTTAGGTGTGACAATGAATTAATGTAATAGCGGCAAATCGCCGGCTTGCTATCATATGCCCATATGATATTCGCCGACTCTCATTCAGGTCAAAGTTGCCAAGTATATTGAATGCCGTCGAGCTACACAAACAACAAAGGACAAGGTACGTTGACGAGCTCTTACCTTTCTTCTGGAAATTAGAGACGCGACAAACACGGCCAGTAGCCTGGTCTTGAATCCACCTTTCGTGGGGGGCAAGGTGCTTTCCAATCCGCGTCTTCCCCCGAAAGACATGGGAAGATCGTTGGAAGCCTGAAGCACTGCTGCCGCACATCCCACATCTGATTGCGCTGCCTCGGTCGAACCTACAGGAAGAGACAGTTCACGCGGCGAACGAACATCGTTTTGGTTGAAGGGTTGTGTTACGAAGCCGTCCCTGGTCGATTGGGAGAGATATGTCGGAGTTTTAATACCGTATACGACACAAGATTACAGACCCCCTGGACCGATTTCAAAGTCCGCTTTCTCAACAGCAGAAAGAGTTACCGCGCCGAAAACGTGAGCCTGCTATGCTTCTCCTCTGTTCCTGCCTGCCGACGGCGGCGTTGAAGCCATCTGGCTTGTGCATCTTCTTCGTCCAAGAGTAATCGAGCTTTGAACATCGGTCCAGAGGATGTGTTACCTTGTGTCGTATACGGTACCATAGGAACAGGTGGTCAGCAAATAACCCCACACTAAAACCGATGTTGGGTATCCCACAGAGCAAAAAAGAAACACGTCTCCAGCACAACAAGACTTTCCGAAGTGCGGGCGCGTTCTGCTCGTGCAAACAATTTGTAATGAGGTATGCGTCCGGCCGCCGCTCAAGCGGACCCGGAACTCACGAAGGGGCAACTTTTTCCAGTACTGCACACGAAATTTCGGAACAAACGCACCTCGGCGAGATGATTCGAAGTCCCATCCCAGCCACAACGTGGTAAGTTGTCGGACGTCCCTAGATTTTCGCAGCATGCATCCTACAATTTAGCCCAGCAAGAGAAAAAAACAACGAAACTTTGGCAAGAATACTGTGCTCGGGAAACGAATCACCTTGAAGGATGGCAATGCAAGCCTTGGCGATGAGCTTGTCGGCACGCGCTAGGGAGATATGCCGACCCGAAAGCCACCGGCTGGCCTGTCTTCGGTAGCCCAATACCTCTGACAGCACTCCCGCCCATTTCACCTGCGCGAGGTAGGTTTGGGATTCGATGATGACACCCGATACGAGAGAAGACATGGGTGACTTTGATGATGACACCAACTTGTTGACAGGGTCAGGCTGACTATGGGGTTCATGATCAAGTGCTAGGCATGGGGTAGATGATGCCACCAGCTAGTTGACAGGGAAATATTGGGCCAGACCTATGTATATGGGGTCGGTGGTGAATTTTTAGGCATGGGAGGGTCGATGAAACCAACTAGTTTACGGGAATATGGGGTCAGACTGACTACGAGCTTCATGATCAAAGCGCCAGGAATGTGGTATGGCAATGACGAAAGCATGCGTGTAGGGTTCACCATGGCACTGGGCGCGTGACAGGAAACTAGGGTGTGATGATGGCAACAGATGATCCGGATGGCACCAATTACATGAGCGGGAAGGGACTGAGAAGAAAAACGACGATCTGGCAAAAGGCGTCCGACGATCCCTGCGATTCCTTCCGTCTCCCACAAAAGTTTAGAGCCAAAGATAGACGGTGCTTGGCGACTGCATTGTCAAAATCTAACGTCTACGACAGGTGCCCTCGACGAGAGGTAGCCTAACCGTCCTTGTTTCTCTGAGAACCATCGTTCGGGGGCGTAGGCGGTCTCCCGATGTAGGCTTGGTGTTGGAAGCATGCACCTCTTTCGCCCTCGATAGGTCAAGGACGCTCTCCGCCGCCTCAAGCCTTCTCTCCAGAACGTTCCTAGCGACCAGACCTGCACCAAAATGCATATACAATTGGAATAGGTCATGACCAGGTAGGTTGGTGAAGCCGTCAGCAAAAACAGAAGCGTAACACTTGGAGTGACCAACTCTCCATGAGGCCGGAACGCGCGGTCCTAAAGTGTTCTGCTTGCCTCTGGCGGTGTGCATGCGGCCCACCAAATCGATGCGTAGTGGCAAGGGCACGACATAGTTGACGGATAGAAACGATCTGCGAAAACAATTCCACCAACGGCCAATGTTGGCCGAACGAGCGGTGGAGTAGTTCCTTCTTCGCTCGTTTCGCGCATTGGGGGCAAGCGGAGTTAGGTTCAGCGTTCGAAAACGCCGACCTCGCGTACATGGATGGTACGCGTCCACCCACACACCGGTGTTCCGCAATGGCACTATACCGGGCTTGTCGGGGGGTCCATTGCCGGCAGCAAACTATGGCTTCGCGAGTCAAAGTCGATAGGGTACAACCCTCAAGCATCACCTCCGCGATCCTCTTCTTCGTCCTCTTCCCCGCTTCCTCCTACGCTGTGACCTGCGTCCTCCGGTCCCAACCACTCCCTCCCCTCTCCTTCTTCCGCGCCCCCCCGGCCGGGACTAAAGGCGTCCTCTCCAATGTCTTCTCCTCCCTTCCTCCCATCCGCAGACTTATTCCTGCCTGGCTCGCCTGATGTGTTTCGTCGGCAAACTGCACCACCCTTCTGGCAAGTCGGCGGCGCAATCTCGTCTTGGTGCTCCGGCCGGCCCTGCCGAAGGAAGGCCTCCAAAGGTGCGACACGCTCATGTACAGCAGCAGAAGCAGCAGTAGCTTCGCTGTTGCTTTGTCTGTGATCGGCATGGCCCTCGCACAAGACGCAGCTGCAGTTGAAGCCGAATTGATCCTTCAGCCGAGCCTGTCTTGACGCCAAGGCGATCTCCCTTGGTTCCAAGTACGATATCCTACACAGCGGATCCAGGGATACACGCATTGTGTGTGCGCATGTTAGTCGTGCCACACAGTGCGTTTGGGCCGAGAAGACCCCTCGCCTTCAAGGTAGAGTTGCGCTGCTGCAGAACAACATCAAGTATGTCCATTGCGGCGGTAGCTTGATGCCACAAGGAGCCAGCCACACTACCATTGCGCAAAACTAGAGGGTCGTAAGAACCGAGTGAGAAATCCGTTGAGGAGTGCAAAGTAGGGAGTCCACCCTGAACCAGTGCTACGTTGCGTTGTCTTCGCGACAGCAGTGGCAACCAGTCACGCATCGTACAATCCAACCCCTAACGGCTCTTACGTAGCTAGCTGTTTCAGGCGCCATCTGGACGATATTGGACTACGCCAGCAGAGTTCCAGCCCCGACGGTATGCTTTAAACGTGGCGCAATACTACTAAGTTCGCTGCTCGTCCGGCCTTTGTGTAGCTTACTCCTCACGTGATTTCTTGCCCCGTTCGGATGAGCTCGGTGGCGCGGATCTCGCTGAGCAGCGACCCTTTCTCGCCGGCGGGGTCCGGATTGACCCCCGTCTTTCTACTAACGGGCATTTGCGTGTCCGAGATAGATTGCCCCGCTCGCCACTTGATGGCGTTCGGCCTGGAAGAAAGTAAAAGCGCGGGAAAACGTAAACAACGGTTGCGGAATCGCAAAAACGGCTGTGCGAGTAAGGAAAGCAGAAGCGCTGGGAAACACATGCTCAGGTGCGGAATGTACAATTGACATGTTGAGAAACGATAGTAAAAGAGCACAAGAGCAACCCCCGTTGACAGTCAAGCAAGTCGTGCCACGTAATACATAGCCGGAAATCGCTAGAGTTGGGGCGGAATCACAAAAATGGCCATGTTGAAAAACGGCGGTAGAAGCGCAATTCCTTGCCTGGTAGGTAGCCATAGCCACGAGAATCATGGCTGCCAAACAAGCAAGTAAAGGGCACAGATTTCCGGACATCATGATCGCGGGGATGAGAACAAGAGCACGTAGGGTTGACAACCAATTTGGTCATGTTACGTTTCGTGCCACAAGCAATGCGTGTGGACGATCAGTCGAGAAGGGAACAACGGTCGACGAGATTTCTCCAGAGAAGGAGAGTTCCGGGAGGTAAGATGACATTCAACAAAGTTCATGAAAACCTAGGCAAAAACGAGAGGATGGTGCACAGCCAGCAACGCCGAACGACTTCTCTTCGACGAAGCCGCTGCTCCGCGCGGAACGCGACACGAAAATCTTGTTATTGCCCCTGAAACGTCCACGGAGTTGCGGGAACACCTAAACCCAGGGTAAAATACACCAAGTGAGCGTAGCACTAGGTCGGAGAGAAAAATTGGCGCTGAAGCGCAAACGAAGATGGCGAAGAACGGGAACGCAAGCAAGAGAAAAAACTCCCAGGGATAAAACCATGAGCAAAAGCTGGGGAAATCGACGTGCTGGTAGCTGTTGTTGGCTATGGCCGCCGTGCAGACCGACCGCTGCTTTTGCGACGCAGTGACTACGGTGCGCAGAAGAGAGAGGCGGCACCCTCCTATGTAACGGAGGTGAAGAGACGCGAAAGCCTCCGCAGGTTATCCAAACCCCCGTCTCGGACGCCGACGCTCTCTACGACAACGCGCCTGCAGCTGTGGTTAGTCATGGCCGGGTGCAGATATATCCCGCTCGCGAAGCCGTTGCTCTGTAGCGCCCCGAAGAGCCGCACGATGCCAGGCACGTCTAGCCCCATGGCCTCCGCTTCTGCTTCTGTTGCCGAGCTCTCCCGTCTGAGCTTGGCGACCATAACCTTAGCGGTTTCTTCGTGCCTTGTATCGGACAGGAACGCGACGCAACACAAGAAAGTGAGTCAGCGCCCGTTTTCCAAGCTACAGCTCAAGCTTTTCTTGTGAAGCCTCGCGACAGGTGCTCCATCTGTCGTTCCAGGGTGGACAGAGCAGATATTAGCGCTACACAGGTTTGCCTACCGCCGAGCACTGGAGCAGCACCAAGTTGTGCGAAAGCATCCGACAACCACCCAATCCATGAACCAATACACGCCACACGACGATGACGGCGGCGGCGGTGGCGGCAGCAGCGGCAGCAGCAGCAGCAGCAGCAGCAGCAGCAGCAGCAGCAGCAGCAGCGACCAAGCTGAAGGAAAGCACGTCACACAGGCAACAGCCACCGAAGTTGATAGCCAGAAAGACAATGCAAAATACATTAGCGACAAAAAGCCTAACGGTTACCTTGACATAAGCGCAGCTGCTTCGCTCTCTGGTAGGTCCTGTAGCGACTGAGGGTGTAGCCATCGCAGCTCTCCTAGCACACGTTTCAGCCTCGCTGGAGGGAGTTCCAGTATCCACTGGAGGCATAACTCTTCCTGCACCAGCGAAATACATGCACCACGAAAACAAGATACTCACGTGCAGTGCTCCCGAGGATGAAAACAGATCTGTAGCACGAAATTTCTGTCCGGCTTGTCATTTCCAATGCTGGTAGGATAATGCCAGCTGAACGTAGCAGTTGAGCAATGCGTCTTTACCGGGTATGGCTGACGGAGCTCTATGGTGTAATGTACGAGATGTGTGACCACATTGTTGGAAGCGTTTGTGCAACGCACCTCCCTGAACCAATAACCGATTTGCACTTGGAAAGGTAGCCGCGATACAAGGCGTGCATCCAACCCATCCGCTCCTCCTCGTGAAACAGATTTCCATTGTGCACAGAACTACGCATTCTGCTGCGAACGACGTTTTTGGCCATAAGGCCGCCTGTTGCCAAGTGATTTTGTCGGCCTCACTCAGAGCACCCAGAGCATGAGGCGCAGGACATTGGATCTGTGTCACGCTCGTTCACCGGCCTTTTACATGGCGATCAGCCCTACTCATGCGGCCTTACTCAGGGAGCTCTGCTGCTGCATGACACATGCACGAGGCACAAACCTGTCCCACTCCCCCCGCCTGGCCGCACTCAATCGCTGTGGGCATCGGCAAGAAGCGCTTCTCCGCCAGCAGCAGCGTGCCCGGGGCAATGTCAGTAGCGGCCGTGAAGCCTCTCCCCCCTCCTCGGTGCGGCATGCTCCCCTCGTAGCGTACGGACGGATGCTATTGTAGCGGCGGGAGAAGTAACGCACGGTGTGTGGGGGGGGTGTACTAATGTTTTGCATGCCATATATTGTTATACCATTGACGACGCGTCCGCTCGAGAGGACGGAGCATTGTTCCTACAGGACCGATGACCGATGGCCAATCGCTCCTTCCTACTTTTGCTAAACGTGGCTCAAGAATGTCTCCCTATCCTATCTATCCTATCGATATCATTTCCCTCCTTTTCAGCCCACTCCTGTTACCCAAGTATAACTACGCGGTGGACGGGGGGGGGGGGGGTGNNNNGGGGGGGGGGGGGGGGGGGGGGGGGGGGGGGGGGGGGGGGGGGGGGGGGGGGGTTGGGAGATAGGGTCTTCAAATAACTTCGCTAGTGACAAAACGCTCATCGCGATGTTCAACGTTGGATTACTTCAGGTGTTGCTGCAACGCTCAGACAACTACCAAGTTTTGACTTTCTTGCGGAGGGGGGGAATGACAGCCCACAGCAACTTGTGAAAAAAATTACTTGATCCGTACGGGGAGCTCGAACTCAAAGCACCAAAAACTGAAGCTCGAGGATAAGGGAAGATGTGGTCAAGAGCTTTCCGAGGATTTCGCTATTCCAGAGTCTGGCACATCCTCATACCCCCCTCGATGTAGGCCTGCTGTTTCTCACGGCCAAGATGGCTCACTTTTGCCCAAGCTGAGACTCGTTGGGCCTGCTCGTTGTTGTTCGCGTCAGGGATCGAGCGCACAGACGTTGAACGATGGGTGCCTGAAGGTTCGGTAATATCACCTGGCTGCGAGACCCCCGGTTGAAGCCTCCAGCATGCTATCACAGAGAGGCTGTGAAGGAAGATAGACTTGAGAATACGAGTTGCGTGCAAGTGAAAGGCAGATAAACCGAAAGACGCACAAATAGAGTCACCTGGAACACGGGAGGGGTACAAAACGGCGCCCTAGCCGCAGGTCCTCCTGCATCTTCCGCAACGGCACCGCTGTTCGAATCTTCTACCTTCTCGATGATGCCCCCCTCGTCGAAACCGGGTGGAAACTGAAACCTCGGCAGCAGGGATTCCCAAGCGTACAATATTTTCTTTCTTCTGGCAGTTGGCAGGCTTACCGCTGCCGGCGGACGTGGTGGTGGTGGTTTTGGAGTGGCCTGGCAAGCGGGAAAGACGCGGGGCGTTGTACTGTAGCGGTTCCAAATCTTGCCGGAGGAATCTCGATGCGTGTTTTGTGCTTTTTCGTTTGGCGAAACGGATTGTCGAGGCGTGTGCGAGAATTCGTTTCGACATCGGGGAAAAAAACAGGAAAAAAAAACTTTCACTCTCAGCATCTGCCAACACGGGTTGAACCGGCAAACCCAAAAAAATGCAGATCGAGCCCCCTGTTGATGTATGGAACAGCTAGTTTTGTGTTTCAAGGGCCTGCGGGTCATTCCTCGTACCATGAAAGAAAATAATGCATGAGAAGGCGGTATGGCGAAACACAACGTCAGGTCCGCTCTCAGAGCAAGGGTACCAAGCAGAACCTGTTACCTGGCACCAAGTACTCCCAGACCCAAACTCCGCATGAAGCGTCAACTTGAAAGGAGCGGTGTGACTACTGCTGTTGTTGAGAGACTCGGACACAGACGACATTTCCCACGTGGATTGCATGCCTCTGAATTGTGGAAGCTGTGTCACAACAGTTCTACATCGTAACAGAGCATCTGGGTTCTATTATATATTGCCAACGTGAGCACACTCTTTACAGCAGTAGCGGACAGTAGTTTGGGTTGGGATCATCCACGGGACTGTCAGCTTTCATGCTGCCACGACGCTCGTATTGCGCGTTGACCTTAACCACCACTTGCAACGCTGCGGGCAGGAGAGAGGGCGTCGAAAGCATGTCAGCCCAAAGATACAACCAGGCACGAACCACAACAGGAAAAGTTCTTGCGGTAGCAAGCTCGCTGCTCGCCCGGCAATGATGTACCCGCCAGCAAACACGGCGTATTTTTCGTTGAATGGTGCGGAAAAACACTAGCTGATGGCTCCTCTATTCTCACCGTGATTGCTGCTGGCTGGTCCTCGTCGCTGTCCGAGCCGAACACATCCCAAGGGTCCGCCATGCCTTCAGAGCGAGGGAACACAACCGCACAAACACCCAGGCACGGCAGGGCCCTGATGCTCTCTCTGATCAGCAGAACGGTACATGGAAAAAAAAGGATCAGCAAACCGTGTTGGTCCCAAGTCCCGACCCCTTGTGACCGCAACGAGGTGAACGATTTTGCGGAGCCCCCGCCTGACTGATTTCGTGTACCTCTCAGTGCCCTGTGCAGCAGGAGTCCACACCTTGTGCTGTGAGCCGGTGAGTGCGATGATCTCCTAGCATAGCCATGGGTAAAGGATGTAGTGGGAAGCATTTCGCTTTGTGTATGTATCGCAGTTTCGTTTCCAACGTTGTTCTTCCCCCACAGGTCGTGTGAGAGAGCGTTGTATCGACGTCCCCCCTACAACAAGCAGCGTGGATACAGCAGTCTGTAGAACCAGCCACACGAGCATTCAAAGTTGCATGTGTATGAAGTGTAGGTGTACGGCTCTACAGCTGTACACATATTGTGTCGAACATATTGAAGTAAACTACATGCCGCAGCAATTTCTAGTCTACGTGAAACTGTCTCACCTATCTAGTCTATGCATGGATGCGACGGCATGTCAGTTGTTCGTTCCGATTTGCTGTTTAGCGTAGACCATTTGAAACAAGGGCCGGCGCAGCATGAAATTTTTCTTGCAAAACGTAACGCGCATCTCCAGGGATTTGTAACACAAGGGCTTCTCCGCCAGCCCGCTAACGCGTGCGGCCACCGATGCTACCCGTGCGAACGAGGGTGATCATTAGACTATCATTCGTACTTCTAGACAGGACGGCAGATGAGGGTACTCTGTACGAGCGGGGACACAGAAAGCGCCCGCACTTGAGAGCCTCTAGTCATGGTCGAGGCTGGGGTTCTTGTGATTTCATGTATATACAATCAGCACGTGTACTGTAGACACAGTGGCGTCATCATTAATCAGCATCTATCTGCCTTGGTAACCGTGGTGTTGCCGTGCCACACCAATGCTGATGTTCACGCAGAACACGCTATCCCGCGCCTGTTGACGATTGCCGGAAACGCGCCAGGCGACGGCGTTTGGAGCTTTCTCGAAGTTGCCGGAAGAAGTGCCCGTCCCGGGAGGTTTACCATGGGATCTCCACTGTTCGGCGACATTGATGTGGGAATGGTAGGTTTAGAACAATGACCCGCTATCAGTAGTGACGTGACCCGTCTCCCTTCTCTAGACGGAGCACTAATGTTCTCTCCTGATTCGAGACACCCTCGACCTTTCAGTACGGCATAAGAAATTGGCGGTATTGCTATGTAGGTTTGCCACACAATCGTGGTGCCCTCAATTCCTATTCGGGGAACGACCGGGGTTCCGCGTTTCGTTTTTACGGAAGAGGCAAACCCCGCCCGCTGCTGCTGCTGCTGCTGCTAAAATGTATTGTGCTGTGTGTTGTCTATCCAAGGCTATGACCGCCATCCTGGCGTGCATGGCGTCAACACTCGGTGCCCTTCTCTTGACCCTCAGGCCGAAGGACTCTAAAGGGGGGGGATCCACGTGGTGAGCCCGTGTGGTGGTGACAGTCTTGCTTGTGTGGGTCGTGGAGGTGGTAGCGGAGGTACATCTGGTTGCGTCATGTACAAGCAGTAGTGAGCGTTGCAGTTGTTGTCGTTGTTGATGGTGTTGTTGGTGGTGATGGCGGTGATGGTAGTGGTGTTGTATAATTTATGCCGATAAACTCTGCCAGTGCAGGTGGGGCTGGTGGATGCTGTGGTTACCGTGAAAGATGATCCGCGGCAACGGTTTCAGTTGTCACACCTCAGTGCATTCTCAACTTGCTTTGTGGTCGGCGCGTCCAGCACGCAGGCAGGTTGTTGTGGTGGCCGGGAGGTTTCCAGACAAGAGGCGTTGGGTTCATCTCGGGGTAGGTTCAATATTTGCTTTTTGCGTCGTTCATGCATGAGGAGCATTCTTTCGAACGGACTTATTTTTTCTATTGAGAGATGACCACACGAAGTCTTTCGGTTTCCATTCTGTTTGATCATAACGTTTTTATCTTCGTTTCCCTCACTACGAATTTTGTTTATTAAACCTCTTTTTTTGTTTTCCGCTCTGGTTACCTTTGAATGGTGCTCCCTCTGTATCCGAGTTTGCGTGTTTACGCGTTGCTCTTCCTCTTGACTGTGTCTTGATTTTGTTTTTGTCGTCCTATTTTTTTGGCCAGGCTAGCGTGCTCCAAAGCCAACCCCGCCAAGAGAGCGTGGGAGGTGTTCAACCTGCGCTACGCGGTGTTCTGGGTGGGGTGCTTTGCGGCCATCATCGGCTTCAGCCTCTACGAAGATTTCGATGAAGTAAGGACGATCGTGCTTGGCATCAGGCGTACGTAAACGTTCTCCACGTCACGGAAACACCGTGATCTTACGGGTTTTTTTTTGGGGGCGGGGGTTGTTCAATCGTTTTTGGGGGGGGGGGGTTCATACGATGGAACACTATCGAAATCATGAGCCACCGGGGAAGCGACATGCCGGTGTTCGTCGTTGAATCACACTGTACTTGGCCTTTGCGCAACGACGTTGACCGACCGTGATATGCTACGGTCACTTCCGAATTTCTACGTTGGATGTGCCGGTGCGGAGTATCCCTCAACCGCGGACGTTTCCAAACCCCGTGTTGCCTCGCTGTTATTCAACACGTCCAGCGTTTCCGAAACATGCCGTATTGGGACCCAGAGCACCGAACCAAGACGTCCGAACCAACACGCCTCCAGGGCGGAACAACGAGAACCAAACTACACACGTGGATCTGTGGGAGCTGTTCCGAACTCTTGCGTTCAGCTCCAGTTTATTCGGTCTTCAACCACGTTAAACTTTCGTTGTCGTTCGGCATTTCCCAGGTGTCGTACATGGTGGTTTGCTTCGGCCTGTCCCTGCCCATCGTGGCCTTCCCCCTCGTCAGCGTTCACCCGTCAGAGGAGGGGTTGGCCGTCGGGCAGCGTTGCGGGGTACGGGCCAATGTTTGGATAGCGATCTACAGTTTCATCGGGAACTACTGGTGAGAACACTTGGTCCTCTCCCAAACTTGGCAGACGATAATTAATACTAAACAGCAAGTGCGAAAGGTCTTGAACAGACCATGCTACCTCCTGTCTGGGCGAGAGGATGGTCGTCGGTCTTTTCAGATTATTGCAAAAGATTGGGATTTTTTTGGGGTTTGGGATCAGGGTAATGGGTTGGAAATGCATCCGCAGATCAGTTTGGGCCGACGGGCCTCCGTGCTGAGGAAGCTGTTTTCTGTTGATGTCTCCTTTCCGTCTCCTCATGATAGTTTTCTCCCTCTCCCTCTCCCTCTCCCTCTCCCTCTCCCCTACAGTTGTACCGTACGTTGCATCAACACAGCAACATGCAATCACAAATGCCAACAAGATGACAGCAGTAGCAGCGACATATGGTGACAAATAACGAAGAGCGGCAAATGACCGGCGACAACCGCGACACAGCAGTACGTAGTTCTCGGCACGGCGTTCTTGTTATGCCCTTCGAAGTGTTTCTGTGCGTGTGTTCTCTCAAGCGCGTAATATCATCCGTTGCCGCATGCCCCTACTCCCTCCCATGAGCTTGTCGTGGTCAGCATGGTGCCTTCAGACTGCCGTTGTTGGTGGTTCTCTTGTTCCACTTCGCTTTCTCCATGCGTGAATTCGACCCCAGAGCAACCATTCCCCCTTTCGTCCGACACTCTGTTTCCCCCATCTGCAGGTACACACACTACTTCTACTGCGTGCTAGGCGCCAAGTACACCTTCCCTAGCTGGTGAGTGGCGAAATAAGGTACATACAAGGTGTTGGTGTGTAGTCTGCCTGACATCTCATGTGTGGGGTGCCTGATAGGGTCATGTTCCCGGGTGCGTTGGGATGTCTGGGAAGACATGCCCATGGGGTCTTGGTCCAAGTATCAAATCCACTGCCTTCTTGACAGAAATACGTGCGAAATACAGAGACATTGCACAGAGGTCGGGTCGTTTCGTTCAGTCGAAACGACAGCGACAACACAACCACAAACCTCGACGGTACGGAGCAGTCAAGCTTGTTTCCACTGCAGAACGGCGTTCGTGACGTAATAAACCACCCCCCATTTGGCGTGTGACGTTTTGTTTCCTGATTGTGAAGACTTTTAGGTGACAGGGAAACCGCGATCTTTCCAATACGTTTGAGAGAAAGGGGTCCGATGTAGAAAATCCCAGAAGACATGCTCGTTGTTTGCTGTCTTCCTCGCCCCCCTCCCTTCGTTGCAAAGGGATATTCAGAATGCTAGAACAACAGCCCTTGGGTAGAAAGGAAGACCGGCAAGGTTTGTTGCCGCGTTGCTCGAGGTTTGTGTTCCGCGTACTGTACGCGAACCCGATGTTGTTGCTGTTTTTTTGATCGTAGGGCTGACCATCAGACTCACAGCTTCTTTCTGTGGTGCCTGATGTTGATAAGCTCGCAAAGCGCAACGTTATCCTCAATTGTCTCACCTTTTATATGTCAGAATTAACGGCATGTAGGGAACTTCTCCATTGATGCGTTTGCATTGACGCGCGCGCTAATTGCGTGTATCTCGACGCGCTGTTTCTTCCCGCGTATCGGGTTTTCCACCTCGCTCAGGCGGTTGAACGACGTGCCGATACCGTTGATCGCTGCGACGGTGTTCTACTTCTCTCTCTACCATGCCCTCAGCAACATGGCCATCCGCAAGGTTTGTTGTGGCAAAGGATGTATTTGTATGCTCACGTGGGTGGTTGCTGGACATGGTCTAAACGGCCAGTGGCTCTCTCTCTTGTCTGCTTGCCGCGCTTGTTGTCTACATCGATAGTGCGATATTGTTTTTACACGATCATGTTTTGCTTATACCCGTACGTTTTTATTTTTTTGGCTGGTGATTTATCTTGTCTCTCTTTGGCTGCCACGCCCTCGGCTCGATGAACCGCCAAGCACGTCAACGCATGGCTGGCTTTATTGTCGATTGTTTATGTTCACGTGCGGTCGATTGTATAGGACTCGGCAGATAACACGTTGAGCACTCGATTTTTTTTCGAAAGCAAACATGTGGAGCCGAGGAGCTTCTGGGCTACCCCGCATCGTAAATTATAAAAGATCCTCGGGCACTGTAATGGGGTCTTTAGTGGCGGCGCATTCTGTATCCTATCGTGCTTGGGCCTGCTCGGCCCTGCTTGCGATCACTCTCTCCACAGGTCGAGAGCTGTTGAACAGCATCAGCTACTGCACCATTGCATGCGGCGTTCACAGCGCGTGGCCCTCCGTGTCGTATGTCATCTGAACAGCGTTCCTTTGAAAGAAAAATCATGGTTCAAGTCCCACAGAAAACGGAAATTTGGAACACTCTCCTTTGGAAGAAAAGAAAGAGTTCAAATCCCACAGCTAAGGGAAATTAATGCGCTTTCCTTTGAAAGACAAATCATCAGGGTTCAAGTCCCACAGCTGACGGATGCAACACGAACACTACCTATGTAGCACATTGTTCCATCGCCGTAAACACCAGTGGGATTTCTTTTTCTTCGCATTGTGCTGCACCATGTTCAGGTTGTCACGTCCTTTGAGGCTACCACGTCGCGGACGGTGACGCTGGTGGTGCTGGTGGGCGTGATGTCCTACGCGGTGGCCTTCACGGAGACCCTCACTATCTCCGGGTTCCCGTACTACGAGTTCGAGGACAGAGACATGGCGTACGTCGTGGGATCGGCGTTCTATGGGATATACTTCATCGTCAGGTGCTGTTGCCAACGAGCATGTGGATCTCTTCCCTAAATTATTTTGTTTCTTTGGCTCAGTCACGACCATCCCCCGCCCTCCCACTCGGAATGACACCGCCATACCTCCTGATCCTTCCCGCATTTGCCGGAGAATAGTCAAAACAGACAACAGATTCTCCATGACCTTCATCATTCCGCCACCACCCTAGCTGTGTATCTCTCCAACGCTCGGCGCTTTCGTCTACGATCGTGCTTGTTTTGACAACCCGCACACATCTACTTCAACTCCTGCACTACGAACTGGCCTTCCTTGCGCAGTTTTCCAATGTTCTACGCGTTCGACGAGTGGCCTCAAGAAGACGAGAACAAGCTGGCGGACAGGAGGGCCGGGAACTCTGCGCGGGGGCTGTGGGGTGCGGCGGTAGACTCCCTCGGGGCGAGCATGCTCATCCTTTGCCTTCTGGACTTCGTCCGCTTAGCCGTAGGGTCGGAATTCTACATGAAAGGATGACTTATCCCCCGCCCGAAAGCTCGGCACTTCAAAGAGCAAAGAAAAAGTGGCCAATCCAGTCTTGTTGGGCATGTTGCCCGGAGGGGAGATGTCGTTACATGCTGCTCGGGTAATCGTAGGAACATGGGCAGTGTGTCCGCTTACACTACAAAATGAATTCGTTGCTATTTTATCCCTGGCCCTCATCTCTGGATAGGGGTCAATTCGTTGTGTTTTTGTAAGACGAAAACGAGGTATTTTAGTTGTTGTGCTCTCTATCGTAGGGTTGTGGCAATACGCGAATTGAGGTCTCTTTCGAGGGTGGGATTTCTTGGTGGAAGGAAGGCTGGGATTTTTCCGGGATTTTTCCGGGGGAAGGAGGGTGCGACTTGAAACAATACCTAGTACGGATTAATCGTTCTCCGTATAACGATGAAGGGTAGTTGTGGCCTGACGAGTTTGTTCAGGAGAGGCTTGGAATTGTTAGTGGGAGGTGGGAGAATATCGTCGTGTAACAAAACTCACAATGTGTTCGAGAAGGGTCTTCCTTTTGGTGCAAGGAGGAAGAGTTCCTCAGCGGAAGCGCGAGGTTGTGTGTGACACGACAACCGTGCCGTAGAACGTTTGCGCGTATGAACCCGGCAGTCTTGCAGCCGACGGAAAGTCTCACAGCTGCGCAACTCTCCCGGGTTGTTGTCTGCAAATAACAACATCTGCTTTCGACCTTCATCCAGAACTGCCTATTCGTGCTATGTAGTATCATACGTATTGACAACGTAGCAGGCCAAGGGATCATCCGACGCAGGAGTAGGCAGTTCCTGTACGATGTGCTGCGTACTGGGGGTTTACATCCCAGCAATCTACATGCTGCAGCTTGGTTGCTGCGGGAGGCCACCAGGTTTCCGGTTTGACGTTTTCGGCAGGAGGATCGTTCAGTTCAGAATACCTCAGAATACCAATGAACCGGACAAGGCTCGGCGCCAGTAAAAAAAAAACTGAGTTTTGAGGGAGGGGGGGGGTTCCGTGTTTGTTTTTTTCGAGCCTTCTCGATGCGCACGCTTTGCCCATGGCACCAAGCGTCAGGTCAGAAGTCGATTGCCTTTCGGGGTGCCCCGGAATGTGGACACATCCGCGTGAGCGACAGATGACATGCCCATTGATGACACGCCCACCACCACCTGAAATCCGGGTCAAAGAATGTCCCTCTCGTCGTTGCTTTGGATGCTCGCTGGCGTAGCAGGCGTTTGTCCCTTCAGTGACACGAGCACACCAAAGGCCCTCGACAGCACACACCCGACACGACGTGCCTGACCGCGAAGCAGCCGGCCGTGTCGACCTCGACCCAAATACAAAAGCCATGTTCGGCTGAAAGACATGAAACAACAACGAAGAACAGATGCAACGATTTTTGTACAGCAACTGTTACCCAAGCCATCTCTCATACACACCAGAGGAACACCGCGCTGAGGTGGGGGGGGGGGGCAGACGACCAGCCAGGCCTTGCTTGACCAATGCTCGCCTTCAAACTTGAAAAAGCGGAGGCTCTGCAGCAAGTACGTCCAAACGCTACGCTGGCCGAAACCGATTCCATATTCTCAGCGTGCTATTATATAAATAACCCCCCAGGCCAGGAAAAATCCCCCTTGGTATTTAGGTGCGCGTGCCAACGTGTTGTCGACGAAACCAAACGCACCCGAACTCATCATTCCTCCGTATACCTGGCCCCTCGATATTCGTTGAATAGCGGACGAAATGTAGGCGAAAATATTGCATCACGAAGAACACAATAAAACTCCGTTCACCTGAATTTGTCAACCTGCCTAACCGCTGTTCAAGCAACACCCGCCCAGCATCTTAGAACGGACCAAAATTTAAGAAGCAAGGAGGGGCGGGGGAAACGCCACGTGCACATAACGGAAACACTGATTGCCACATAGACGGGACTTCGTTGGAAAACTGAGCCCCGTCGACGCAGATAGCACACCTCTTTCATCAACATCTCCCGTTCTCACACAAGTTCAAGCCGCCCGTCGCAAGTAAATAGAAAATAGCATACCACACCTGTGAATACATCGCGAGTCACCATGGCAAACTGCCCCTCCACTACCAATACGAACAACAGCCACAAGCCAAATCCTTCCAGAAAGACCCAGAAAGCAAGAGCAGTGCTCTTAACGGTGCTTACATGTCAACACTGGCGCTGTCGCGAGCGTGCTTGAATTTTTCCAAAACCATCATATAACACCCTCCATTGCAGCCCCATTGACATTCCAAACAAGGCACGCCGTGAATGGCACGTCCAGGGTTATCCTCTTTTTGTAGAATGTGCCTGGTGCGCAGCCGAACGGTCTATGTTTCTGTATCCGAGAGACATTCCCCCACTTTCATCCATCCTTTGGAGAGTATCGTTCCGGTTCTACACCAGTGCCCGAAACACCGTCGCTTTCCGGTTGAATTCCGTAACCACCAACAACACAATACAGCAGCAGCAGAGTTTCTCTCCCGACAAACCACCCTTCTTACATGCTGCCAGTAGCAAACTTCGGAGACGGGTCAGAGCGAAGCTCATGATCACCAGCGAAAAACCCTTGCAACAACCACCAATCACAACACGCCGTGAAGTTGCAAGCAGCTTGAACGCATTGGTTCGGATGTGTGTACCTTGGCTGCCACAACTTTCACGAACGTCTCCTTATAAACTGGAGATACCCTCCCCACCTCATATCAGAAAGCGTACAACGAAAAATATTTGCATGTCGTTGTGAAAAATGTTTGTTATCGTTGTGCTCATTTTTCGGACACGAAAGGTCATGCCGACAACGAAACGCCGTAGGTCTCGCCAAGTCAGAGAAACAGCGGTGCCCCAGCTAGCCTGGCCCATTGGTGGTTAACAGCGAAGACGGTAGCGATCGCGAAAACAGAGAAACACAGCATCTATCAAAGCAACAACAACCAACGAAACACTCCGAGACAGCCAACGTCCACGAATTTCTGGGCGCGAGCCGCATATTATCGATCAAGTATTGATAACTTCGCAACAATTAATCTTCGTCCAGTCAAGGGAGCCGAGCTATTTGAATAGGCGTCAAGTCTACAGCTGAAGGAGTCAAGGCGGGTCCGTTCGAGCCTTCCTAGACTCAATCAGTCCCCACCACCACTCTGAAACAGACGTGGCCACCTCAATAGCCAACTCTCGCCTAGTCTTGCGAGACCCACCCAAGCAATGCCGTCCGAATGTATTCAACGCGGCGGACATTTGTGTCTCTTGCGTAAGGGAAAAGTACGCCACCCATCAGGGAACGGAATTGCCAACGCCTTGTAACAACAGTCTAGAGACTCTGACGGCATCAAATGTAGACGGGCCGAGGGTGGATTTCTATTGGCCAAGAGGGCACCCTGCCGACGGAGACGCGTTGTCTTGCTTATAGAACACCCTAGGCCAGCAATCGTAGCCCCCTCCAACCAGACCCAATTGACGCTCGACAAGCGGCGTTTCGTTGTCAGCGCGATCCATATAGCGGAGGGAATGACACGGTCCCACTTTTGGCGCCTATCAGAACTCGTAGGGGTGGGGGCGATGCACGCAGACCGTCGGACCGCCTCTGGGAGAGGGGTGCTGCAGACTGAGATTTATCGCCTCCGCCATTTCTTCGTCAGTCACCAATCCCTGACGACCCGCCAAAAGCTTGAATCCAGGGGGGCAGAGGGCGGGGGGCGGCACCAGACATGAGTACAGGGGAAACACATCAACATGACTTGGGGCGGCACCAGACACGAGTACAGGGGAAACACATCAAGATGACTTGGGGCGGCACCAGACACGAGTACAGGGGAAACACATCCAGATGACTTGAGGCGGCACCAGACACGAGCACAGGGGAAACACATCAAGATGACTTCTTCAACCACCCTGACACTGCGAATCTTCTCTTTGGGTGGCGTGTTGTGTGTTGATGCACTTGCAGTTACTTTGAAGGACCGGAACTAAAGGAGAGCGCAGTGCCTTTTCTTGGACACAGCATCTGTTGTTTGGCTATCGTCACATTTGAAAGTTCCCGAACGAGGCTGTTGGCAGGCGTTGAAGCAGGGCGCTGGGAATCTCCTTTTGCCATTCCCTCCGATGTTTCGTTGCAGAGTGGGCACAGAGAGGGGCCTAAACACAAAAAGCTCGCAGGGTTACAACCACGTGGGCTACAACGTCTGCGAACGGGGTCGAACTGGCGGAGGATGAAGCCAAGGCAGTTTCATTCAATTCCGTTTGGTACTCGTCGGAAGGGCAGGCCATGGGGGAGGGGTTGGAGCGAGTTCTGCGAGCGAGTTTCACGTCACGGCAAGTCTCCCATTGCTACCCTTCTCATGCTATCGTCAATGATTTCCACGCTTGCTTCCCGTCAACGGGGGTGCGACGGCATGTACAAGTAGCCTCGAGTCACGAGGTTGCCGACGGACGGAATATTTCGTATACTGGCTGCCTCTGGCGTTAGGAACGTGCCCGTAAGCTTTCCCAGACATCCCAAGCGCGTGGTGCCGCCTGATGCGATATCTTGTCTGCGCCTACCTCAGATCCAAGGAAGAACTCCTCGACAGAAGGGCTGGAAGGTCTGCAAGCGCCTAGTCCCGATACGGGGGGTGAGCCTTCCCCTTCGCTGCTAAGTCCACTACCCTCAACATGCGCATTTTCTCCGTTGCTGCAGGCGCTGCTGGTGCTTGTGCTGACATGAGATGCTTGCCCAGGTTGCGGTCCCACGACGAGGCGGGTGTCATGCGTCTTAGGAGTGGTATGGTGCTGTTGCATCTGCCGCTGCTTCTGCTGCTGCGCGTCTTGTGGGAGGAGGAGAACGGTGCCGTTGGAGGCGTGGTTGTGGCTATCTTCACCACTGCTTGATGCTCGTCCCCAAGGCCCCTGTTGCCGTGGAGATGTTCAGCCACAGCGGATACAGCAGGCGATCAATATTTACGGATGCCACATGAAGTAGTTGGCACATATTGATTTGCGTATAAACGGATGCACAGCGGCCTATAATAGCAACAAGATGATCCGCTGAACCTGTATTGACGACCCGGAATGTGGCACCGTCAAAGACCGGTTCAAAAAAATACGAAAATGGCACCAACTCGTGGTGGAAGAACGGTTCGTGGATGCCTTTCGATTTCTCAGAGGCCTTGGTTTTCGGAGACAATTTCCAGGGCCTCGCGACGATTGGGGTCCGAGCAAGCTCAGACATTGCACGCAATACGTTATCCATAGCAGCAAATAAAAATATGACTTGCAGACTTGACGGCCCTCTCTTTCTAACGGCATCTTTCTCGTTCGAACGCAGGAAATAACCATACCTTTTTGGCAGGTCCTTTCAGCCGCGGAAATCGGCGGACGGGAAACGATGCGGCGAGAACACCGGCGTTGAACACTGAATCGTATCTCACGGCACCCCCTCCCTCGCGTCTGCTTCCGGCACCATCGACAACGTCACCGCCGCCGTACCCGCCGGAGCTCCCTCCGAGAGTATCACCCGCGCCACTTGATGGTGATAACGACGAGGACGATGACGAGGACGACGAGGACGACGACGACGAGGACGACGACAATCTCCTAAACGTACCCCTGCCGGTTTCTCTGCTTGTGCTGCCGTTGCCGTTGCTGCCCGTGCTGTGTTGGTGGTCGTTGCTGAACCGAGGGGATCGGCGGTGGGATGACGTGTCGTCAAGTTCGCCGCCACCGCCACCACTATCGTCGGTGTCGCAGGGTACGCTTAGATATCCAGCCTCCCTTTTGACGCCCACCGCCGTCGCCGTCCCGTACCCAGGCGGCAACGCAGCGCTGGCCTGAGGCAAGGAGAGGCGCTTGTTGGTGGTAGTGGCGGGGCCGTGGCCGAACAACCGTGTGCCGCCGCCGATTCTGCTTCCGGGAGGGCGTGCGATGCCGCCCAGCTCGAGCCCGAGGACGCCTCGAGCGGCGGTGGTCTTCGGCATGCCGTTGGAAGCGGTGCCGCCCACACCGCCGGTGGCCGCGCTATCACCGCCGCTGGCCGCGCTATCACCGCCGCTGTCGGATCCGTCACCGCCAGCGAACCCGCACGGAGACGTGGAGGAACGCGCACCAGATCCAACGCTGCCAACGCGAGGCGAGCGTCCACCCGGCGACAAGAACCCGCCGCTGCTGCCGCCGTAGGTCATCGAAGAAAAACAGGCACCGCCGCTGCCGCTGCCGCCGCCGCCAGCCGTCGTGTGCGACGAGGAGGGGGTTTTCGAGGATGCTCCGGACGAAGCGCCGTTCCCGTCGCTGCTACCAAACATTGACGAAGAATTCGGAGTCAGTCCGCCCGCGCCGCCACCCCCGTGGAAGGGAGCGAAGCTCAGCTGCAGCCCAATGCCGCCGGATCTCGGGATCATCCGCGCGGCACCGTCTCGTGGGCCGGCCCCAGCGCCGCCGTCTGTGTGGCGTGTTTCGAGTTTGATCTCGGTCGCACTCCACCGAGGACCCACCGCCACCCGCGGAGCTGGGTTCGATTCATCTGTGGTCGTCAAGCGAGGAGTGAATCCCGGGTACGCGTTGCCACTGTTAGGGTTGCTGCTTCCGGTCAGAAGCCGGGGTCCGAGGGTGGTGTCGCCGCTGTTGGTGGCTTCGTTGCCATGGTCGTGCTGTTGCTTCTGCCGTGGCGAAGCGGCGGCGGTGGCAGCATTAGCGAGGGGAGAGCGGCGGGATGAACGGGGAAACGTGGCTGCGTTTGACCGCCGCCGTTGAATCTTGCTTTGGCTGGAGCGGACGATGGTCTCTGTTTTTGTTGCTGGGTCCCCGCCTGTGCAGCCTCCTTCTTCCATGCCCCCTCCTTGCCGGTGCTGGTCACTGCCAGTCGTTGCCGCGGACGTGGCAAAGGAACAAGAAGTCCGCTTCCGCTTCGACGCTCCACCCGCGCTGCCGACGATGCCCCCGGCTTCGCGGCTTCCATCACCAACGCCGATCCCGCCCGCCGCACCCAACGATCCCATCTTCGTGGAGGGCGGCGTAGACAGCATGAGAGGTTCTTCCTCCTGTTGTTGCTGCTGCTGCTGCTGCCAACTCAGTAGCTCCGAAGGTGTCGCAAATCCCTTAGCGTGGGCCGGGCTCTTGTCAATGTCCAGATCAGCCAGAGCGTACCCCCCGACCCCACCCGCCTTGGCCACAGCGGCGGAGCGCATCTCGTCTCTGAGCGGTGGCGTACATGGCGCCGCACCTAGCGGGTCCGCCGCGGCCGGACCGGTCACAGTGGAACGGGGGTCCGTCTGGTGGACCCCCACCGGAAATCCTCGACTGCAAGGCCTTGAGCGGCCGTGGCCGCTGCCGCCGCCTTCGCCTCCACCACCACCACCACCACCAACGGTGTCCGTACCCAAGAAAAAGGACTGCGTCCCTAAGAGATGGCTGCCGAGGCTTCCCCCGATCACGCTTCCCCCCAAGCTCCCCAAGCTCCCGGCGTCTAGGCTCCCGGGACTCGGAGCTTCGAAGTCTCCGGCGGCGAGGCTGCTGTCCCCTGCGAACATTCCGAGGTGAAGGCGGGGAGAGCGGCGACGACCACCGCTGCCGCTGGTACCGTTGTAGCCAAGGTTGTTCAAATACTGCATCCCCTCGAAGTAGCCGGAGAAGTCGTTGCTCCCGATCCCGACAGCGGTACCGCCAACGCCGCCGGTGCTGCTGGAGTGGGTCCCGGTGCCGAAAGCTTCGTTGTGGAGTTCGAAAGGTGGCGGTGAAAAGATGCTCACCGTTGTCGGCGACAGTGGGCCTTCTCGTGCTTGGTGGCTGCTGCTCTTGGAGCCGACAGCTGCGGCAACGTCAACGCTCTCTACCCTCGTCCTCCCTGCTGCTTCTGTTGGTGCCCGGGTACCCCTCTTGTTGCCCACGAGCCTGATAAACCCTTTTTCGTCCAGCGCAAGAGGACCGCCACCATCAGCACAGCCATCGCTGCCCTGCACCAGATGGGCGTCGCAGCCCCCGCCGTCCACGCCGTCGTCGCCGAACAGCAACTCGCTGCAGATGTCGGCGGTATCGAAATCGAAGACGTGGGGATGTAGCCGGGGCGATTGGCGAAGAGAGGAAGGCTCGTCGAGGTGCAAAGGAGACAAATCCCGCCTGCCGTGTTTTGTGGATGATTGCGGTTTCGTTCGAGGGGGTGGGGGAGAAAGGTAAGCGTCATGGCAAGATTAACGCAAGGGATAGTGTGGACGACAAACATTGACATTGCTTGTGATGGTTGAGCTGAGGGAGGAGGGGGAGAAGAACAGCTCATCATGTGGTGGACGCTGCAAGCAAACGTTGGGACGACCAACATTGACAATGGACTTTGTCAGACGGATGCGGAGTGGGGCTGACTCCAGAAGGCCGAACGCCTCCGTGACGACGACCAACTCGCCTGTGGTGACGACGTTTCGCCCCGCCGCCTTCGGCGTGCTGCCCATCGGTGGTCTCCACCGTCAGTGCCGACCTGAAGAGGCCTGTTGCTACTGCTCCTGCTGCTGGTGTTGCGAGCCCTACTGCCTGCAGATGCAGACGGTCATGACAAGGAAGAAAATTACGGTTCGAGCACGAAAACGTAGTCTAAGCTGGCGTAGAGCGGTGTTCTTCCAGCACCTATAGTAGGACATGACGGGGCTGTATGGGTCTCGTTGATGCGTTCCACCAAGCCTCGCAAACGGAGCGAACGGTTGTGTAGGTATGGTTTGTCAACACGATGATCCCCCCTTACTACAACTGTAAAAGGACCGGCGACTGCATATTCTCCGACCACTTTTCAGGTATCCCGCGCCACAGCAGTACTCTATGGTACCACAATAGCAACCGTGGCATGCATTGACTGCTCACCGCCCCGCAGGCCCCGGATGCCTTTCCCACGGTAAAGATGGGAGCCATCGCCTGCTGCTTGAGGGACGGAACGTTGGGAGACGAGCTGTGTGTATCCTGGGTGTGGCACACGAACGCACGGCCAGAGGAAAGAAAACACTCGTCGATGAACTGTCTGACTGTTATCGAATATACGGCCGCCGACCAAAATGACGAATGGTGTCCCTACTTGTAAGCTACATTACGCGGGGTACAGCGGCGGAAGACACGCGAAGAAAGTAAACAAAATTAGCCTAGAGGTCACGCGGTATATTTGGCGTGTTGGAGCGTTGAGTTGCGTAGCACCTAATGAAAGGTCCCTATCTCTTTTAAATACCCTGGATGAAACATGTCTTCACAATTTGGAGATCAGACAACCTGGAAGAAAACCAGCACATCATCAGTCGCCTCCACCTTTCTCCTTATTCGATACTACCCCCTGCTTGGAGCAGCAAGTGCTAACCTTGATCGTGTCTGAGTCGAATGTCCCTAGGCCCCCTTCTACCGGCTTCTTCGTCCCCGTTGTGCCCATATCCGGCAGAAGGTTGTGCGGACTCATGGCTATGTCGTTTGTTGCGCGGCGGCCGGTATTGGTGCTGGGGCGGCGGCCGCCTGGCTCACGACCGGTGGTTCGGGAGGCGCCTCCGTTGGGCTTGCGGCCGTTCAGCTTTTGGCCGTTAGCCCTGCGGCCGGCGCTGGACTTGTAGACCTTGGACGAACGAATCTTTGACCGGCGGCCGTTGGAGAGGCGGCTTTCGAGCTGAGGATTACCGGAGGAAACACCACAAGGTCGGTGGCCATCGTGCTGCTGAAGGCCGTTGGACGGCTGTTTAACCGGGGGATAGAGACCGCCGGTGGCGGCGGTATCGACCGGGAACACTCCGCCACTGCCGTAGTCATCGGTGGAGCCGGCAGGCGAGGTCCGGCCGGTGTGCGAAACTCCGCGCTTGCATTGCTTGACGTACTTGGCGTCCTTGGCTTTCTCGTTCTTGACGGTGGTCCTGGTCTTGTCTGCCAATTTCCTGTGGGGGGGCCTCGCGGCTACAGTTCTCTGGCAGTGTAGCCCCCCCGTCTTCTCCAGGTTCTGTTTGAGCTTCTCACGGAATGCCGCCCTTCCACTGCGGGGATGCAACGGCGGAGAAAATGGCGAGAAATACCGGGGGGAGTGGTCGTCGTATGGGAAGGCGGTGGTGTTCGTTTGGGAGTTTTTTTCATTCAAAGATTTGATTGATTCAGTTTACTGAGGGGTTGCCCTTCTTCTGTAGGAGCATGCGGGCAGATTCCATGTTGTACATGAAGACAGGAGTGGGTGGGAGGGGACTCAAATGGTTGGGGGCTTATTTGATAGAGGGGCAAGTTTGAAAGTATGAAACACTCTGTAAGTATGCAAACGATTGCGCTCGAGGAGCATGTCCGACTTTATTTGCAATCTGGGTATACACTCGGTGGATTTGCGTTTGTGTCTCATCTCCGCCGCGCGCGAAGGAAAACCGGGGGAAAGAATACGATAGAACACCCTGTTTTGGGAGGTGGAGGTGCGTGAATGTATGTCGTGTGGGACACACAACAATCCAAAAACTGTGCACGGAGAAGGAGACCAACACTTCGGAAACGAGCCAGTCGTTATCTCTCTCTCTC